CAAAATAATGAGATTTAGAAATTGTGGAGGGAAAGATTTAAATTTGTCAGTGAGCAATGACACTGAATTTTAGCTTATCGGTTAGGAATGACATTTGTAAATAATGACCGATTTTCGTTTTGTGAAGTATTGCGTGAACTATTAATTTAACTCTTTAGAGGTTTGGGTTTAATCATGTACTTTGACATGGTCCTTTGGGCTGTCTGCTCATTGTTGGTGACCACTGTTTCTGTAAAGTTTATAATTTCCGTTGAAGGGAAAAACAATCCTTTGCCAATCTAAGAACCTTTAAAGGTACGTATGAAATGATGAATTAGAGTTTGACATCTACACAGCTTCAAACAAAAAGTGTCCCACCAGTGGGTCCCGGTGGAAATGTTGTCAAACATGACAACGTGACTAGAAGCACAAGTGTGAAATTGGGTTTACACAAAGTTAATTGGGTTTGTGTCATTGTGCTGGGCTATCCAGACAGTGAGAATTGCTCAATTGTGAGGTTACAGTTTAGAGTGAAGAGTGGCTAGGGAAAAACTCTATTTCAAGGTATTAAACGGCATGCTTTTGAAAAACAAATTACGAGGTTAAAAAAGGAAGAAACAAAGGGAATAAATAAACACAAAATAAAAAGTCTACTTAATCATGCTGAAATAAATTAAAGTGTTATATTTAAGGAAATCCACTCTGTACTCAAACAATTACACATACAATTTAAATCTGGAAATATTCATAAACATAAAACAAACAAACAAAAAAAATGTATGGCATATAATAAAAAAGAAATATTCTATTTCTACATCCAAAATTTCTTGGTTACATTGATCATGTGAATAATTTTACTTTTTGACTCAAATTATTATACTGATAATGTAATTTGTGACAAAATAAATTGGAATTAAATTAGAAAACAATTTGTAAGGATTTTACAGGATGTAAAATAGAAGCATTTTCACCACACTGTCAAGAGCTCAGTTCTTGAGCTGATAAATTGATAATGGTGTAACATGTTTACCTGCGAATAAGAAATGGCTGTTTCTGTAGCAAATGTTATCGGTTTATCTGTGTATATGTAAATACATGCCTCAGATCTGACTTGGTTTGATGCTATTCTCCTGCAGGGTGAGCAGCAGGTAGAATATTTCACGCAAGCTTTTAAAACATGTCTGCACAGCACATATACTGCTTCATTTGCCTTTGATTTGCATGCCGTTTTGAAACTGGTACGCTTTAACAACCGGAATTCACCAAAGCATACATTTTCACTGTAAAAAGGAATAAATAACACATTGATATTTCTTGGAAAAGAAGAAAAGGGTGACCGAATACAATCTTGTTTCATCACTCTTACAGTCAGTGGAAATGACCTTAAGAAAGCGAAAACCAGAAGGTGTTTCCAAACATTGCATACCTTCATATACAGCCTTGAAACCTTGTGATCCGATCGTGTCATCAGACTGCAGATGGAGCCACATCTGGTTGCTCATACTCACAATCAAATCGGGCACGCTGGATCCCGTGAGACTAGAATAGATGCACAAAATCAAATTTTATTCTTTGATTTGTGTATTCATATAGAGCCATGAAACCGTATACATAAGTGCCTTTTTCATGTGGTGGTTGCTCTTGAAAGAAAATAAGTCATGGAGGCATTTGTGAATAGAAGCACATGTCTGTTCAAAGTTTAACATAAGAATCTGTTAATATTAAGCGGCTTTAACTACTATGTACTTGCATCAAAAATTAAGTACAGTGTATTTATTGTGTTCATATTGTATTGCAAAACACT